TCTTCCCATTTTCCCCATCATATATTCAGTGCACCAAAGCAAGGACTAACTGGAAAGAATTCTAACTCCTTTCTCCCATGTCCCGATCACCCCTCTTTCTAAACAGTCGCCAGTCTTGGTTCCCTTGTGGCCACATCATGTTCACTTAGTGCCAGAATCTCTGTTTCCTCTGCCGTTGTCTTCTCAGCCAGATTGGTGCAGGGGCCCGGTACTTGCTCATGTGGTCTTAGCACAACTTTGACGTTACCTCTCTAAACGATGAATATGACACTGCTTATGAAACTTTAGTTGGCTCCTATTTTAACTATGCTGGGGATGGTATAGGCCCCAGTCCTCCTTTCCAGCTTAATTTTCTTGCATTCGGCCCACAGTCTCTGAACAAAATTCCCTCCAAAAGCACTGGACCCCTTCCGTGCTCGCTGGTCCTGCTGCTTACCTTCCCCATTTAGCAGTCTGTCCCTTGTCCTTCTAATCTCACTTTTCACGTCTTCTGTAAAGACCTCTTTGATGAAACTGAGAGATCACAGACTGACTCATTCATTTAGGAAACATAGTAAATAATAGCTGTGCAGACGACCTCCTGCCAGGTGCTAGCAATACAAATGCAAATAAAACATGATGCCACTGTCATAAATGGCAGTGCCATAAATGTCATAAATCATAAGCTTTCAGCTTTATCCACATGCCTGTATTATAAACACATCATATTTAATCAAAATCATTTGTACAGGAGGAGTCTGTCTTCCTTACCAGTTAGATTACCCAAAGCTCAAATTTTGTCTTAAATTTTTTTTGTATCCCCAGGATCCAGTGTGTGATAGATACATGTCTCTTTTTGAAGTGACCTCCTTTGATTCTTTACTGTGAATTTTTCTCTATTAGTCACTACCATATTTCATAAATTTGTCAAGAGGTACTTTTCTTAGAAGTGTAAATAATTTGGTACAATAATGACTATTATGTTGCTTTACACTAAATAGTTTCATAATGTCAAATGATACAACCGCATTGTGCATAGATGGGTAAAAATATCACTGTAAGTATACCTCTGTAAGAAAATTGGGTTTTCAAACTTTAATCATTAGGGTAACTTGAGGATCTGGGGAACTACACCCACAAGAACATGAAAATATGGTTAGCATCATTAACTACTAAGGAAATGAGATTAGCATCGTGATGTGGTGCCACTGTGCACCTGTTACAGTGGCTAAAATAAACGTAATGACATATCAGTGCTGACAAGCCTGGGATGGCAGTGAATTGTCAGACATTACTGACGCAAACTCAGAGTGTTACAGCCACTGGAGGCAGTTTGGCAGTTTTTATGAAGTTAAACTTGCATTTACTATATGAGCCACCAGTCCCCTTCCTGGCTTTTACTTTAAAGGAATGAAAACATATCCACACACATACAAAATGTACGTGAATGTTCATAGAAGCTCTGTTTGTAACTGCCCAAACTGGAAACAACTCAGATGTTCTTCAATGGAAGACGGGATTCACAAACTTATTATATGCCCTTTTATACCATGGACTACTGCTCAGCAAATACAAGGGAATGAACTATCAGTAACTCAACAACTTGGGTGAATTTCAGAGGTATTAAGCTGGGTAAAAGAAACCAATCTCAAAGTTTATATACTGTCTGATTCAATTTATATAACATTCTTGAAATGATAAAACTATAGGGGTACAGTACAGAAGAATGGTTACCAGAGATCATGTCAGGAAGGGTTTTTTTAACTGTAAAGAAATAACACAGGGGAATTTGTGAGCATAGAAGAACTGTTTGGGATCCTTATTATGATGGTTGTTACACAAATCAGTATCTGTGTTAAAATTCATAGAAGTAGACATCAAAAGTGGAAATGTGGTCCATTTTACTGTATGATGATTTTTAAAAAATACACATCCATAGGCCTCGTTTTCAGGGATTCCAGTTCATTGGTATTATAAGCTAGGTCAGATCACAAATGGGAAATTCAGATTCAAAGATAATTAAGCATAAAAAACACAGACTTATTTTAAGATTGTTATACTAAACCAATAAAAAAAACCATGCATAGAATGTGAAAGAATAGAAATGAAAGAGAAGTGACCTCCAGAGCCTCCTGGTTCCTCAAAGACCAGAGGCGTGTACACAGTTGGTGGCCACTAGAGCTGGTTGAGTGCAGAGCCCACCTGATGAGAGTGGGAGATGGTATATGAGCATTCCAGGAGCCACCTGCCCCCTATAAGAAAATTCTTCATCACAGTTGCATACACCTACGTTTAGCTTCTTTCTGTATCATTGCTGTCACTGCAGGCCTAACTATGTCCTACCTCTACTGGGGTCTAACTGAGGAGTCCACATTTGTAACAAATACACCAGTACATTCTAATGTAAGGGTTCCACAGACAGCATGCAGGAAGTCCGCAGGTTATGATGAGTAGGTTCTGTGGGTTTGTTCTTAAGTTGAATTTGTATGTAAATTGGAATAGGTACATTTGCCTATTACCTGTAATAGCCTCTATTTGTAATTGTGAATCCAACATCAGTTGGATATTTGTAACTTGGGGACATACTGTGCTACCTTTGTTTGTAAGTGCGTGCTATACATAAGTCAGATGTTTGTATCTTGGGAACTGCCTGTACTTTAACTGAATCAAACAGCAATTTATTAGCAGTATGGATTGTACAGATTATATCCTCAAAAGCAATGTTTTTTAGATTTCTCTGTTAGTTCAGAGAGTTCGATTTTAAATATTGAAGAAGTGGAACAGTTTGAATGTTTCCCCTGTTTCTATCTTTGGCCTTTGAAGGAGCTTTGTTATATCTTAGCAGATACAACAGACTTTATCCTGTATTTCTAAGAGCTCCTTTAGATCGTCAATAACATTATCTCTTGTCTGAAAAGATGAAGGCTGAGTTAGTGTCATCCAGTGTAGTTAGTCATGAAATATATGTAAAAAATAAATACTAACAGGTTGACCACACTGCACAAGAATAAGATAAGAATATATTTCCCTTGAAACTTAAAGAAGATAATCTTTTGTTAAGTATATGGGTGTTTTGTTTTGGACTCTTAAAGGCTGTGTGTAAGTTGTTATTTACAATGCTGACCACTAGATGGCACAGTGTGTTAATATTTAATATTACTTTTGGTTTTGTAATTGAAGCACATTTCAGGGAGTTCTGTTTTCTTAGAGCATTTGTTGAAATATTCTTAACTTAGAAATTTAAATTATTAAGTGACCTGAGAGATTATCACTGTGGCGAAGTCTGGGCTAGAACCTCAGTCCTTTGAAATCTCACTCCCTTAGTGCCCCTTATGTCAAAATTATAGAAAAAAATGTTTAAAAAGATACTCTTATGTTGTTTATAATGAGATTTTCAGAACAATAGCAAATGAATACACAATGTGATACCCAAACACATTTGGGCATACACAATTATTTGATTATATAAATATTTCTTCTAAGTGTTGATCTAATGTCTTTCATTTTGCAGAAAATTTTCTCTATTGTATAATAGGTCTTCAGGGAATGTTGTAATATCTTCTGCTGTAGTACTTACACAAATTGCAGATCAGTGTGCTAAATTCCACATCTGAGCTGAGACCAGGCCAGAGAGTAGACACTAGAAGTGAGGTTAGTACAGTAGTCCGCCCTTATCCACAGGGGATACAATACAGAACTCCCAGTGGATTTCTGAAACCTTGGATAGTAGTCAATCTGATTGCTGCCATTCAGAATACATTTCTGTTCATATGTTCTACCCACAAGTTTAGTGTGTTTTTCTTCTTAACTAAGCACTTGCCATGCACTGTGGCCATAACTTGAGCAATGTGAAGTATAACAGAAAAAATAACATAAATTTCTTTTTCCTTCTTCATAATTACATGGATGTAAGATGTATTCTTAAAATAATCTTAGCAATGTCAGCATATGATTTTTGTTTTCTTAAGTTGAGAACTTTTTTACCTTTTCACTTACAGGAAATACTTTATGACTTCTCTCTTTGACAAATCTAAATTGCCACCATCACTACTTTTGTGATTTGGGGCCATTATTAATTAAAATAAAGGTTACTTGAACACAAGTACTGCAATAACATTTGGCTGATCTGATAACCATGGCTACTAAGTAACTAATGGATGGGGAGTGTCTGCAGGGTGGATATACTCACAGGGATGATTTGTGTACTGAGTGAATGGAGCGGGACACTGTAATATGCCACCATGCTACTCAGAACAGTGTACCACTTAAAACTATGAATTGCTTATTTATGGAATTTTTAATTTAATATTACTAGACCACAGTTGACTGCAGAAAGTGAAACCTTGGACAAGAGGAAACTACTATATACTTTTGGAAAGTGGTCAATGCTTTCCTATCGAAGATCACCAAGAACAAAGCTGTAGGTGAAGTGGGATTTATTGACTCATTGCAGTGAGGAAGATCCTGGAGGACCATAGCGATAACAGTAAAAGGGAAGATGGTTTTCCAGGCAGTGAGTCTGGAAAAAGCCTTGAAGTGCATGTAAATTTGCTGGAAAATGTACTCGGAGAAAGTGTGCAGTCTGAGTGAGGCTAGGGGTGGAATTGATTTTTGTAGGGCTTTGCTTTTGTAATAACTCGGGCGTTTACTCTGGCGGAGTTGGGAAGCCACTGAGACTTATGTTTAAATTAATGGAGTATTTTTGGAAGGTGAAGAAACAGGTAATAACTGATTTGTTGCGAAAAGGGACACCTGGATAGAAGAAACACTTGCTTTTCACCTCATTCCTTTGGAATTTTATGTCATTCTTGGGTATTACTATTTTGTAAAATAAATGACATGATTTTTATGATTCCGTATGTAGCATTATATATTAAGACTTCAGTCATTAGGAACTGAAGATACTTAAAAATAATTTTGTGTTTTCTTTGATAAACTTGTTCAACAGGAATGCTTGGAAACAATTCTTATTAAATGTGTGGGGGTTTTTTGTTTTGTTTTGTTTTTGATATCTATACTAGGTGCAAAGGTCAAGAAATAAGCAAGTACGAGAATTATTCCCAGATGGCTTTAGCATTCATCATGCAGGGATGCTTCGGCAGGACCGAAATTTGGTTGAAAATTTATTTTCTAATGGGCATATCAAAGTCCTAGTCTGTACGGCTACATTAGCCTGGGGTGTCAATCTTCCTGCTCATGCTGTTATTATTAAGGTAAGAGTTTACCTTCCTTTGCACATGGATTTCTGTGTCTTAAGAAAAACCTCTGGATTGATTTATTTAGAAAAATATTGTGATTTGGCTGTTTCATTGACTTTGACTGTTATTTGTATAAAATCAGAATTATTTTCTCTGATAAGAATCTAGTTTATATTGTGAAAATTTAACTCTATCACAGATGATGAAAGGATTAGTTAAAGTACACTTTTGAGATTGTGTCATATTTGCCTAATTTCAGTATTCAGCTCATTGGGATTATATTTGTGTGTGTTTATGTAAATTTTTATTAACTTTTCCTCATCTAGGGAACACAAATATATGCTGCAAAAAGAGGCTCCTTTGTTGACCTTGGAATTTTAGATGTCATGCAGATATTTGGGCGAGCCGGACGACCACAATTTGACAAATTTGGGGAAGGAATCATTATAACAACACATGACAAACTCAGCCATTACCTCACTTTGCTCACTCAACAAAATCCAATTGAGAGTCAGTTTCTGGAAAGCCTTGCAGATAACCTAAATGCAGAGGTAAGATCTACTGAGCGATCGATTGATATAGGATCATCAGCTTTCAGAATGGCCTAGTCAAGTAAAGCCTGAGTGGGTTGTGATTCTGTACTATTTAGAAATACAGCTTATCTCATATAATAAAGACAAAATAGGCTCAATGGCATTATTGTTGATTAATTCAGAGCGGTATAGAATACAGATGATAACTGGTAGGAGTTCAGTGCTAAAAGACTATACTTTTAAATGAGGCTTAGAGATCAGAAATCTAACCAAGACAGTACAAATGAGGGAAACAGAAATACCAATAATAACCAGCATTTGGATTGTACTTTAATAAAGTTTTAACAAATATTTTATAAGATTTATAAATCTCTTTGATGTCTGTTAGGTCTTTTGAATAACTCTGTCATACAACATGTGATTACATGATTGGAACTGAAAGTATGATAATTGTGTGTGTGGGAATCTGTATGACTTTTGTTAAGATTTACATAGCAGACCCTGGAAACCTAGGTACCATACATCTTAACTAGTTACGAAAATAAACATTCTTACAATTTAGACTATATGTGTAAAACATACAAATGAGATTTGACTATTTTTTTTTTGCCATTTTTAACCGTTGATTTAGTATTTAGCAGTTTTCTATTTCAGTATCCTTTAGTATCATTGAAATGGATGCAAGTAATATTTTAAAAGTAGTTAGGATATAAATATTAAACAAGTAAATAAATGAAATATTCACAATCAAATATTAATTACTATGTATAAGTCCTATATCAGATACTTCTTAAACAGCTTATAGAAATTTCACTTGTGTTCTGTTCATGTTTTACAAATCTTTTTAGAGAATGAAAAATATACTCACTATTTATTTCCCTCTGTTAAGAAGCATAAATTCAGGGCTGGGCACAGTGGCTCACGCCTACAATCCTAGCACTCTGGAAGGCCCAGGCAGGTGGATTGCTTGAGATCAGGAGTTCAAAGCCAGCCTGAGCAAGAGCAAGACCCCATCTCTACTAAAAACTGAAAAACTGTTTTTGTTAGCCATTCATCGGTTATCCTCAGCGAAGGTTCTGTTCATGTCTTTTGCCCAATCATAGATGGGATTATTTGCTCTCTTTTTGTTGATTAATTTCAGTTCTCTATAGATCCTAGTTATCAAACCTTTGTCAGATTTGTAACATGCAAATAATTTTTCTCAGTTTAATTAAGTCCTATTTGTTTATTTTTGTGGTTGTTGTAAGGGAAGTTTTCTTCATAAAATCTGTCCCTGGGCCAAAATCCTGAAAAGCTTTTCCCACACTTGTGTCTAGGACTTTTATCATTTCATGCCTTAGATTTAAATCTTTTATGCATCTTGAATAAAGTTTTGTAAGTATGGAAGGTGCCTAAATACAGCCTCTTTGGAAAGAAGTATGCTGAATCCTCAACTCAAATTAGACCTCCCATGTGACCCCACAATTCCATTACTAGGCATCTACCCAGGAGGAAAAAAAAATCCTTTTATCATAAAGACATTTACACTAGATTGTATGTCACAGCTTAATTTACAGTCACCAAGATGTGGAAACAGCCTAAATGCCCATCAACCCAGGAATGGATTAGCACACGGTGGTATATATACTATGGAATACTATTTAGCCATAAAAAGATGGTGCCTGTAACCACTTAATCTTTTGTATTAACCTGGATGGAGTTGAAATGCATTCTTCTTAGTAAAGTATCACAAAAGTGGAAAAGCAAGGATCCAGTATACTCAATACTAATATGAAGCCAATAGACTGTCTAATTCAAGGTCACACAGTGGAAAAACTCATTTCAATTCACATTGGGGGAAGGGGAAACAGGGGAGGTGGGAGAGGGGAGGAGAGAGCATTTGGGCTGCTTCCATCTAAGGGGCACAATGCAGGACACAGCTGCAAGAGGGATTCTACTTAACAAACTCAAATATTGTAACCTGGTTGTTTGTAACCTCACACTAACCTGAAATTTTTTAAAAAGTAAAAATAAAAGTAAATTAGAAGATGAAATAAATTTTGACTCCACAGAAAATATTATTACAGCTTAATTTTAATCCTCATTGCCTGTTGTGATTGTAAGGTTTAAATATTTAGGTTTCGGATCAACAATATCTATAATGGAATAAAATCTATTGTTTTAAAATGGTAATAAATAATAGTAGTGACTGAGGAACAGTTGTGCTGATGACACTGCTGGATGCTCCATGTACATTCTCTGAATCTCTCAGTGCTTCTGCTAAGGAGATATTGTCCTCAGATATGGGACTGACCCTAAGTCACTAGGTTATAATTTTTGAAACTAATATTTAAACTCAAGTCTATTTAACTCAAGACCTGGTCTTTTCATTATAGTGTACTCATCTGTTATTTTGAAAACAACGTAATACATTATAGGTGAATACATTTCCCTGTATTAAAACTTACTATTCGAATTATTCCAAGACCCAGACTAAACATTTTCAAAGTGGTAGCTATAATTCCTCCGACTCACAATAAAAATCAAGGTTCTTTTACGCAGTTAAAAAAAAAAAATTAAACATGTCATAGAAGTCTGTGGCTTACTAAACTTCTAATTAATGTCCTTGTTGGCCTTCTTGTAAGTGATAAACATAAGGTGTTGACTTTATGCAGAAGACACACAGTGAGTACAATACCGCTCTTGTCCTCAAGGAGCTCTTTGTCTTAGGGATAATAAACATACTAAACTATTTGATCAAGCCCTGAGAAATTAGAAATAAATTATGGGCCATCAATTCATCACATATTTATGAAGCCTTAGTGGATATGTCATTTTCAGAAATATCAGCTATGAACCTAATCCCAGTTAGTGATATAAATGGAATTCATTACAAAAATATATATTTTGAAATTTCAGGCAAGGTAGTGAGTATAGCCATTGTTAAGCTTTCTCGTATTTTGATCTACTAGAATACCTCCCTACTAAAGTTAAATTATCCTGGAACTTAAGGAAAACAAATGCCCTTAAATCACAGTGGAATGTGAAATTAAATTCAGTGATCTGTGGAAATCTAGTGTGAAATTAGTTTATAAAATGAATATGTGCTGTGTTCTTAAAGTAATGGATTTTTAAGTTTTTAGATTCCCAAAATCTTTGTAAGGCTCTACAGTAACAATTATGACCATCAAGGTCATGCTAGATTAGGAATATTGCCTCTGTTAATATCTTTGATTTCATGAACATCAGTTCTGACCATTAGTTTAGAGGAACTGGAGAAATTATTATATTAAGTAGTAATTTTAATGCAAACATTTATGAGGCATCATTGCTGATTGAAGCTTTATGTAGCTGAGTGCATAATCCTAATTCCGAAAGGTCATAAGTTCCATCCCTGTATAAAGCCACTTAGTTTTACACTGAGAGAAACAGTGAACAATGTTTGAGGCTTATGAAACTTTGATCATAAAACATTACTTGGGACCTACTGTGTGCTAATCCCCTGTAGTGCCTACTTCATGTTAACCTTTCCGCAACCTTATACCCCCTGTCTCTACAGGATGTTGCAGGAAGACTTGATCCGTGGGTTTAAGTCCTCCAGAGTCCGACCAACCTTCCCACTCAGTCTCTAGTTATTCTCCAACAAAGGTCTTCTTCCCTTAATAGGCTATTATTCCACTCCACCTAAATCATTATTTTTTTCATTTATAAAATAGGGATCTTATCACTGGAATGCTATGAAAATTTATTAAATGTCTGTGCTAAGTTGGTATGCAATAAATTGTAGCATCACTTAGCAGTTTCTGATACTTCCATTTATGCTTTTACCAGCACTGGAACTTTAGTTGAATACTAAAGTTGTGTGTGTACATATGCACACATATATATTCACGATGATTATAAAATTTGCTTATTTAATTTTGCATGATTTCAACTAGTTTTTAAAGATAAAAAAACCTCACATAGTTAATGTTAAAAGACTAATATTATCTAAATAGGTGAATTAGGCTCAGTACACATAGCACAGTGGTTATGGCTCCAGCCGCATACACTGAGGCTGGCGGGCTCAAACCCAGCCCAGCCAGCTAAACAACAATGACAAGTGCAACAAAAAATAGCCGGGCATTGTGGTAGCACCGGTAGTCCCAGCTACTTGGGAGGCTGAGGCAAGAGAATCACTTAAGCCCAAGGGTTTGAGGTTGCTGTGAGCTGTGATGCCACAGCACTCTAGGGAGGGCAACATAATGACACTGTCTCAAAAATAATTATTAATTAATTAATTAAATATGAAGTGATACTTGAGTCCTATTTGTAAATTACCAAATTTGGGGCAGGTTTTATTTTCCTTTTAATTAACAGAGCAGAAAGCTGTGTCCCACTGTATACTAATGCCACTTTTATAAGTTTCACATTTGATGTTTTCATCGAAAAGCATTTTCGAATGTACATTATGTCTTAGGTGCTGTGGATCGTGGTCCAAATATGTCACCTTAGTTACATATGTCACTTCCATCACTAGGGAACTTCTGAGACCAGGGGCCATTCTCTATTTGTTATTCTGTCCATTGTGCTTTACATAGTACAAGCTTATTACTGATTATTGAGATGAATAAATAAATTTCAAAGAGATCCCATGGGGGGAAAAAATACATGTTTTAGAAAAGGCCTCTGTAAAAGTAGCCACTAGGTGACAGCAAATATTTACAAGTAAATTTTTATTTTTGTCACTAGGTGGCATTCAAGTATTAGTCTCACGATACGGTGACCCTTAGTAAATAACATTTATTTTTCTGGTTAGTCTTAGTCTCTTCCTTTGCGGAACATTCAGAAAATTTGCTTTACTTGATTCAATCTTTGACACTTATTTCCATCTTTCCTAATTTTATCATTAGTAGAAATAGTTAATCATTAATGTTCATTTAAGAAGTATGACTCTGAAAATAATAGCAAGCTTGTTTTATTCTTTATAAACTTTTGTACTCTTAGGAGTTGTGTAATATTATTTTAAGATACTATGAAGTTATGAGGAAAATAGTTCATTATTTTAAAATAATATTCATAAAGTTATAAGGGAATATAGGTCGTGTGTCGTGATTTTTGACTGTCAAATAATAGAATCACAAATGAGGGAGACTGTCAGATTCCTAGCCATATTATGAAACTAGTTTCATTCACCTAAGCTAACCAGAAAATGTTTAACTGTCCTCCCTGTAAATCTTTAGGAATTGTTACACAGCTCTTCATTGTCTCAATTTTAGTTCTTACTACTCTTCGTTTTGTGCAAAGCCTTACAATTTATATTAAATTTCTGTATTTACCTACACTGTGGGTGGCTTAGCCATTTGTAAATAAATTAGTGTAAATTTTAAATTAAGTAGTCGGGGTCCCATATTGTATTTTTACTTTTAGTCGTTTCTCTTTTTTAATATCAAATAGTGTAATATTTTAATGAATGTAATATACTGTTCTATCTTCAGCTAACTAAAGACAGGTAAGCATTCATGTCCTTCACAAAATGTGATACAGAACTAAAGATTATAATGTAGGAATGAGGCATGAAGATTTTAACCTTCTTCAATATTAGTTCTTAAATGAAAGGTGTTTTGTTTCTCTTTTTCCTCCTAAAATTTAATAATTTAGGGAAAAAGTATCACTCCTCCTTTGATTAAAATAATTAGGATGTAAAAAGATTTTTAAACTAAGGACTCAGGAAAAAATACACAACTATAAAGTTTCACAACTTGGGCAAAATTTTAAAATAACATGAGCACCTTAGGTAAAAGTACAATTACTGTTTATAGACTCAGCAGCTAAGGAAATATGTTTTTAAGGACACTTTTTGCTGAAGTTCTATGTCAATATCATTGTCTGGTAATTTTTTTTCTTTACAGATCTTTTATGCTATTGTGCTTTTAAATTATTAACCTTTGCTTTCATTTAATTAATATATTACAAAACTACGTTAAGATGCTATATTAAAAATTATAAATCCCTTCAAAATATGATCTAAAGAATTATCCAGTGTTTATTATGCTTCACATGTATATCTGTTTTTTCCCCATTGGTTATTTAAGTTTACCAGTGAAAAATAAAAACCCACCTCTGTTCTTATCATAGATGAGTTTGCTAAAGTATAGGTGTTGTTAATATGTATAAATCCCAATATAATCTGCTTTGATTTTATGTGTAAGTGAATGCATTTTCCACTGAATTCATATTGGCAATTTTACAAATGGGTATTTTTAGAGGTAAAACCTAATATTATGGTCTCTGGTTTTTGTGATGACGGTATCTGGAATTCAGATAAAGAAGGATAGAATTAGCAGTATTTTATTGTTTTTAGTCTAGTGCACTTACATTTAAATTTTCCAGTTGTGTGGTCACAAAAAACATGAAATTACAATAAAGTGGAAACTAAATAAGAAAAAAAAATAATTTATGCCAAAAATGTTCTTAATGTTATGTGGAATTAAACTCCATTTAGGGAAAATAATCAAATGCCATGATATTAAGTTCACTTTAGGAAGATAGCATTTCTGATGTGTTATTCCTGATTAAATGAGGCAAGACTGATTTTTAATTAATTGGTAAAGAGTTGTGTCCATTAATTGTACTTCCCTTCTTTTAAATACCACATAATGATAGAATTTTAAAAGTTCACTTCTGACAAAGTGGTCTTGGATGTAATATTTATGTGCAGCTTTAATGCATTACTTTAATTTTTGTCATATTTTTGATTTGCAGATTGCTCTGGGAACGGTTACTAATGTGGAAGAAGCAGTGAAGTGGATCAGTTACACTTACCTTTATGTACGGATGAGAGCAAATCCATTAGTGTACGGCATCAGTCACAAAGCTTATCAGGTAGAAAACTCTCTTAGGAAGAAATAGTCAAACCTTCTTTTGAGTTCTGTGATTCTTTCGTGATACGAGGATAAATATTTGTTTACTACTCTTGCCTCATCAAAAGAAAAACAGCTTTACTCTTTCAAAAAATAATGGACTCCTGTAATTACTTTGCTTACTTAAATCTTTTCCCACTGATACTACTAAGTTAATTCTGTATTATTATTAATTTATTATTCAGGTATATTTCCATGTGATACTAATAGTTTGCTGTGATTTTTTAAAATTATGATAAATTTAATGTTAGAATAAATGAGACATAAGGATTTTTGCGTAGGCTTAGGTTATATACAGCCTGTTCCTCTCGTCAAGTCCCTTCTAAATCCTATTCTGAAATTAAAAGGTAACACTGAATTATTATCTTAACAGTCTGGGGCTGCAGTTGGTTCTGTTACTCAGTACATATGTATAGAATGACAATTAGGTGGGTGGGACGGAAGCTTTTCTCATAAACTTTACAGTTGTGTGGTCCATGTGGCATAAGGTTCTGTGACATCTTGTCTTCAGAACTCTGTTTTAAAAACTATAAATGCTTCCTGATTACAGATAAAATCCAATTATAGTGTAATGAAAGCATTTCTATCACCGTATGGATATTCACTAATGTTAACGGAAAATTTGTAAAGAAGTTAAATTTAACTCAAAATTATGGTTTTCCTTCATTTACTCATAACTTAGTTCATATATATGTACAAAATGTACATATCAATGAATTGCCAAAGGAATTGTCACTCTTCATAAAAAAATTCTTTCATTTTTCCTTTCCGTATGCAATAGATTTTTTTTTACCAGAGGAAAACTGAAACGTAAGGTTAGGTGTGAAAATTAAGAAAAGCAGCAGTAGCTTATAGTTCTCAAGCTGTTAATCTGAAATCATTCTCTTTTCATACTTAGATTTACTCTAAATGAGATTCAATTCCCTTTCTTCTTCTTAGTTGAAATATGTGCTAATCTTCAAATGAGTATCTTATTTTGCGGGCACAGTTCTCTGCTATAAGGTATATGACCATTATAACCTGTAACATTTTAAGAACATGGCACAAGTTATTCTCATTACAAACATGTGCATTGTGAGAATAGTCAGTGGTGCTATGAAGATATGCTGAAAATTTTCAGGGTTAAGAAAAACAAAATAGAGCATGTATTTTCAATTTGAGTAAACCATCTCAAATCTTGGAACAAGATAAACCCATCCATTGATTTTCCAGGGTTAGGTTAATATTAAAAGTTCATTGCTGTGTTATTTCCAGTATAAAGACCTTCCAAGATATATAATTTTACAACTTTCACACTTCAAGGTCTTTTTTTGTTTGTTTGTTTACTTAATGAGTTTTGACTTTATTATTCAACACAAAGCTCTTCGGAACTAACATAGATAAGTAATTTAACATACTATAATGCTGTAGCAATACATAAGTATGTTTTCATACAATGAAACTGATACATACATTCTATCACTTGTAGTGAATATTTAAGACTTTTTGCATTTGCTGATAAGACTCTTGACATTTTACTTATCTGAGCTGATTTCCACTTGCCTCACTTTTATCATTTTTAAAATTTATTTTGGCTGTATTTTGTACATGAATAAGCTATCATAAAGATCTAAGTTAGGACAAGTGATAGGAATGTTAACACATTAATTGATTTCTAAAGTAGTTGTGTATTTCTCCCACTTTCCATTAAAGGTCATATTTCACTTTACTGCCAATAAGCAGAGAATGGTTTTCAGAACTTGACTGGTGAGCATGTGTGGGTGTGCATGTGTATATACACATATTTATATATACACACATTATAACAACAAGAATGTTTGTTAATATCTTGTGTTAAATAGTATAATTTCTGCTTAGAAAAAACTGGATGTAATATTTCAAAACTATACCAAAATTTATTGTCAACTTTATTTTACTCTTTGCTTCTATATTATAGGTAATATGGATTCTCTCATCATAGGGAATACTCAGGAAAACTGTTAGAACAGTAGAAATCTACTTTTGAAAGGATAACTTTGTATTTTATTTTTATGTATTTTTATTTTGGCAGTAAAAATCTTACTGTCACTTCCCCACATAACTGATAAAGCAGGAATATGGTTTGATAACTTAAATTCCCTATTTATTTTAGTATATAAGAAAGAAGGCTTCTTTTTTTTTTTGCAGCCAGGACTGGGTTTGAACCTGCCACCTCCTGCATATGGGGCTGTCACCCTACTCCTTTGAGCCATAGATGCCAAACAGAAGGCATTTTTTCTCACATCTGATTTCTAATCTTAATCTTAAAGATTACAAGACCATCTAAGAATTTTACATTCTAAAATATTGGTATCTGAGAGCATATGCAGAGTGATCATTTTAATGTGTTTATAAAGCTTCCTTTATTTAATCGAATAAGATCTTATCTAGTTTTTCATAAATGTATAAAAATGTATTTTCAAAATTATACTTTAAAAATCAAAAAATCAGGAAAAAAATTTCATTTCCATAGATACATATTTGCAAGTGATGATTCTCTAAAGAAACATTTAATTGTTCGGGTGTTTTTTTCTGTAGATTGACCCAACTTTGAGAAAGCACCGAGAACAGTTGGTCATTGAAGTTGGACGAAAGCTGGACAAAGCTCAGATGATTCGTTTCGAGGAGCGAACTGGATATTTTTCCTCAACTGATTTGGGTAGAACCGCCAGCCATTACTACATTAAATACAACACCATTGAGGTAGTATACTCAGCAGAACAAATACATTAATATGTTTATTTTTAGATACAAATACTGGACTTCAAAATATATTATTAATGCAAAATAACAAAAGCAACGAAAAGAACAAAATGCACTAAACTTAGATGAATTCAACAATATACCTTCAGTAAAGCAAAGAAACAGTATGACTAAAATAGTAAAAACCCTCTTGCCGTCCTGAGCAAGATTATATCCCAAGCAATAGATGGGCCTAGACCTAAAGTAATCGAAGAATATCGGTAAGGCCTGTGGAATGAATGCCTAAATGATTTTAAGTAGGAGGCAATGGCATAATGACGTCCTTGATTAAAGGTTGAAAATTAATTGCATGTTATTAAGAAATACTGACTAAAGAAGAGTTAAATAAATTATTAAAATTAGCAGGTCAGTTTAGCTGTACCATATGGGCAATTTAAAGGACTTTCAAGGGTGATTTTGACCACTCAATGTAGGCTTGCTCATTGCCTTTCAGTGTAGTTCTGTGTAAGATGGGCCACATCTTACATCTAACTGTAATGTCTACATGTTAAAAGTATGTGCATGCCTTTCAGTGTAGTTCTGTGTAAGATGGGCCACATCTTACATCTAACTGTAATGTCTACATGTTAAAAGTATGTGCATGTCTTCACATGTATTTATTTACATGTTTTAATATGTGGGAAGACTTGACATGGGTTAAGGTGAATTTTTACACTTTAAATGTAAACATTTAAACACCTAAAATTTAAACATTTTTCTTATGTTTTTATTTTTTACACTTAAAATTGAAAAAAATTAAAAACAATAAAAATTTGTTTTTAAAATGGAAAAAGTAAAATAAGCCATTCAAATGAGACTTATTTAAAAGCATGAGTTGGGCACCGGTCCCATTTACCGATGGTGGTGGGTTCAAACCCAGCTCCGGCCAAACTGCAACAACAACAAAAAAATAGCCAGGTGTTGTAGTGGGCGCCTATAGTCCCAGCTACTCAGGAGGCTGAGGCAGGAGAATCGCCTAAGCCCAGGAGTTTGAGGTTGCTGTGAGCTGTGTGACGCCACAGTACTCTACTGTGGGTGATAAAGTGAGACTGTCTCTACAAAAAAAAAAAAAGTATGAAAACCCTGGCCTATATGAAATCTAGGTTTTGTACTTTTTAACATTTGCTTATACACATAACAGGCTTCAGAAAACACTTTCACATGCTAACTAACTTCTCCCCAGTGAACTGTCTGTTTGTATTACATTTAGGGTTCTTCAAAATCTTTTACTATATATTCATATATATTATGTCACAACTATGATCTGGTGGTTCCTTATGCCAGTACATTTCCCCTTGATTTTCATTCTCTCCATCCCCTACTCACATCCTCTTGTTTTATCCAGATAGCTTCTCTCATTTGTCCACGTGCTGGTCTGTGGCTGCCAGGCCACGTTCTAAACCCGCTGGCACTTCTTTCTCGGCATCTCTGGCCCTTCTGTTTTTTTTAGCCTCTCTTCATTCTGTGTGGCCTTTGACTGATTTTCTTCATCCTGGTTTTCTGATTTTCTGTATGCTGTCATGAGTAATAGTATGAGAATTTTCAGATTACATATTTTCAAGTATTTCCCCTCTGATTATATGATATTAATATACAATCAACTTAGAGTTGGCAGATTTCCACATGTCCAGGCTGAATACTAGCAAAGACCTGAATGTTATGATGAATATTTTTTTAGATATCTAAAGTAGATTTCATTAACTGATTTGATTGATCTTTTTGTTTTTAAAGGTCTTCTTTAAATAATTATGTCTTAGGAATGATTTTCAATCCTTGATAAATTTGATGATAATTTATAAAGCAATTATTTGGAATACTATATCACGGAGAAAATAACTCTACGTGGTCTAGGGCTCAAATGTTCATTAAGAATGTGTGACTTATAGTCATGTTTTTAATTTAAAATATTTGGCTTGACATTCTATTTTCATCAAATATAACTCTTACTTTGGTAGACTTTTAATGAACTCTTTGATGCTCACAAAACAGAAGGTGATATCTTTGCTATAGTCTCCAAAGCTGAAGAATTTAATCAAATCAAGGTAAGGTTTCTTGAGGTTTGAGTCAAATGATTTTAATATATATGCACTTATTTATTCATAAAAACTTGTAATTAATTGTTATTCTTGAAACATATGGTACTTGTATTGGCCCCATAATTTATTTATCAATAATAACCACATTCCAGATTATGATAATATGTCATACCCAACAGAGCAATCATTCTTTGCTCTGTAACCCAAATCAAGTAATTCAAGTAGGTTTTAGAGAAGCAAAACTAATGAAGAATGTAGTATGTATATTTTAGTTTATTTGCAATATAAGGTTTACTGAATGAAATATAAAGTACATGCATGATTCAAACTTAAAGATGAATATGTCTCTACCAGTATTATAATTTAATCTTATTAGCAGTGAAAACTTTAATACTTTGAATCATAGTACTTCACAGCTTTAAGCTATGAATGTGTTATACTATATAAAAGTATATGACAGTAATGAATGCATTTCAAGATAATTCAAGTTTTCCCTAATACAGTTGGGCAGAGGTTTCACTCTGGTCAAATAAAAAATGAAATCTCATCAATTGAAGGGTGGCGAGGGCAGAAGATTTAATTTTTATGGTGTATCAAATTTTTATATGTCAATGGCAACTTTAATATCAGTGATGAATAATAAAATGTAAATGTATCAGCCTCAAGATAGTTTCATATTGTATTTCATTAGCTACCTTTTGAAAACTTACTATTATTTAGCTATACAAAAGAAAAATGTCAAAGTATAGTAAATGGAAACTCTTAAAAACGTGCAATGTAGTATAATGTCAATGTAAAAAAATCTAATAAATCAGCCCAAATATTCCTATAAAAACATTGGCTCTTTTAGGTCAGAGAAGAGGAAATAGAGGAGTTAGAGGCCTTATTAAGCAATTTCTGTGAACTCTCTACTCCTGGAGGTGTAGAGAATAGTTACGGGAAAATAAACATCTTACTTCAGACTTACATCAGCCGAGGAGAAATGGACAGTTTCTCCCTTATATCGGATTCTGCGTACGTTGCCCAGGTAAGACTTGCCTCATCGTTGTTTATCTTTAGCGACTGAGGAATTGACGAATGCTCTCCAGTGAATGCATTGATTGTGGCATGCTACCCAGCTCCCATTTTATCTTAGAACTAGTTCTGCTCATTTATACATCTTTTATGTAATCCTTACTCACAAAGCAGGAGTTGGGGGCCAGATTTGGTGTTGATTTGGCTTCTTTTTCATGTTGCTGTTGTTTACATTACGGAGTTCTAAAATATCAATATCTGAGTTTTTTCTACTTTAGGTGATGTAGTCTCTTTTACTTACAAGGGGCAATGATAGAAAAGTATTTCAAGTATAAAGAAAAATTGTGGAACTTTCGTTGTTTTCACCACATATTTGAAATAACAATTTCTTATCATTAAATAAAGCTTAGTAAGTATTCCTATAACATATGTTCAATGTGATGAGTCTCTAATTAAAAAAAAAAGTATCTTTTCTCTATACTGTTAATACTTAAAAATTAAGGATGGAAAGTAAATTATTCCCTAAACTACAGCTCTTTTAGTTTATCTCTTTAAAAAATATCACGCTCATAAAATGTTCAGGTGTTCATCTTTTTGTATTAAAGCCCTCATGTGAGGTATAGTAGAGGTTTTTGTCTTATTTATTTTTCAAATGATAGGTTTTCCTTCCAGACATGGTTTCTAAAAAATGTATTCTTTGCCTATCAAAAATACCCATTTCGTTATTTTTCATTGAGTAATGCCCTTTTTAAATTAAGGAGAAATTAAAGCTTAAGCTTATGGCAAGTATTCAGCTATTATCTTATATTTGTAATTTCATAAAGATTTAAAACTTAGAAAAAATATATTTGGGTTAAATAAATCATTTTTAACAGTGGTGAATACTCAGGAGTGCTTTGAAATAGCTGTAAACATGATCCATGTGCAAACACGAACCAAGATATATTGGTAAACAAGTGGAATGAGTGTAGCAATTTAATCAACATAACCCAGAGGCCAGGTGATAATTTCATGAATTACATAAAGTTAATGCAGATGTAGTAAAAAATATGTATATTTATATATATCTAGATTCTCTACTCTCTACAGAAATCACTTCTAGCTTCCTCTGTTTTATCTGTTTTTCTGAAAAATAATGTTATGTCATTTTATATTTTCTAACAGTTTTATATTCAAATAGTTAATTATTTAAATAAAAGGTAAAGCTTTATTGGATTCTGGATAAATACTGTGGCCACATTTCTGCTTGATTCAAGATTGTGAAGATATTTTAAGAGACTGACATAAGAAATAACTTTAGAATATTAAACTTATATTTTCTTCATGATTGGTATTCAGGAAGTCAACCTCAGATTAGAGAGATCTCAGAGCATTCCTGATTTTTCTTAAATAGCTATTATGGATTTACCACTCTTGAATGAATTAGATAAATTATAACTGAGTTTATTGTATTTTAAGTTTAAGTCATCAGTAATTAAACAAGCACTCTCAGCTCTATAAAATGATATTTCATTGTGTATTTCTTAAACTTTTTTCTCTTAGCTCAAATATTCTAGGATTTTATTTTAAAGGCCTGTGTTTAGCTTCTCTGAATTGTACATGTTACAGACCTTCATCATTATTCCCACTGATTTATATCATTACAGACTAAAATGTTCTGTTTATACCTTGTTGTATGGGATTTCTCCTCTAACTTCTGATAGTATTTAGGGGAAAAGTATAGGTTGAAATATAAAAATAACATAATTTTAAAGACAGGTGGGAAAATTAGCCTGATAATTTTGTAAAGAACTAGTGGGAATGAGGTAGGAAACCTATTTAATAGATTCAGGAACCAAAATTTTATCATTCTCTGAGCCTTAATAAGACCCAGTCTGTCATTTGTATTGTATTTCAGAACTATCCTCAGACTTCTAGCTACCATTTTGTTCTTAGGTTTCTAACACTGAAATAGTCAAACTTGTCAAAAGACAAAATGCAGATTTTCTATAACAGGGTAAAACCAAAGCCCTTAACTCCTCTGGTCTTTTGTGAACTCATAATTTTAGGCTGGATTGTTTGTCACTTGAAATTTACTTTCTAAGACCTCTTTTTATGATTTTGACCAGATTTAACACTCCACATTTTCAAATACAAATGTCATTAGATACTGGAAGATGTCTCTAAGTTCATGATATTTAAAATCAATCTTCAGTAAAACAACCTACAAAGTTAGTGATAGAGAAAAGGAGGTAAAATAAATGAGAACTAGCTACAGAGTTGTAAAAAAAAAAAAAAAAAAAAAACGGGTGGGCGGCTTCATGAAGTTCAACCACTGAGATTAGAATCTAAGAGTTAAATTTGGAGTCATTCAGACCTGGCTTTGAGTAGATGCAGTGACACCAACTAGCTATGTGTTAAGTCAAATTTTTAACCTTTCTAAACCCTATTACCTTTATCTATAAAATAATAGTATCAATACAAGTTTTAAATGTAGTTTTTTTGAAAGATTAAATGAGATAATGTATTCAAAGCAAGTGAGCAATGATTGGTGGTTTATAAGGATCCTTTAATATGAGTAGCCACATACATCAGTATTTCTTTCTCATCCTTCCTCACTAATTTTTCTCCTTGACTGGATCCAAAGTCTTCCTAACTTCATCTTTAAATAGCCTCATAAATCTAATCATTCCAGTATATACCCAAGGACATCTTGGTATATTCAACAGCCTCCTGAATACTTTCCCTGCCTTTTGTCTCCTCTTACTTCATTCCTATTTAAAGGGTATTAGTATAAAGTTTCCTAAAAACTTGGAAATAGGCTACTCTCCGAGACTTAAGTAAGAACATTCACATATATAAGATGTAACTGTTCAAATGTAGAAATCATAGGAAGAATTAGGGTATAGGAGAAAAGACATTGCCCTACAATTCAAGGATGTGTCTTGCACTTCTTTTGAGACTGAGTTTGAATAATAAATTTACACACTTAAAAGTACATTGGATCTAACCATCAATCTCCTCGTCAGAATGCAGCTAGAATTGTCCGTGCGCTCTTTGAAATTGCTCTGAGGAAACGTTGGCCTACCATGACCTACAGACTACTGAATCTTAGTAAAATCATCGACAAGAGGCTCTGGGGTTGGGCAAGTCCTTTGAGACAATTTTCAGTTCTACCACCACACATCCTAACAAGATTGGAAGAAAAAAACCTTACTGTGGATAAGCTGAAAGACATGAGAAAAGATGAAATAGGTAAGAAAGAAACAAAAATGTTTGAATGAGTTCTGTGCAAATAAAATATATTACTAGATGCAAAAGAAAAGTATTGTGAATTTTTACATTATTCAAGATAAATTTTCACCATATTTATAAAAATATATTTTTCAGTTTTCTAAGCTGAAGCAAAAATATCTCTAAATACTACAGTTACTTGACAGAATTAGCTATTAAACTGGAGTTTATATTGTCAAATCCTTACATTTACTATCTTGCATATAGAATCTTAGCTACAGATTCTGAGAATCATTCATTGATGCGTTTCAAAGTCTCTTATTATGTAGATTAGCAGTATTATAGCAAAAAAAATTATATGATCATTAAGCTCAGAATTTTTCCAGAGTTTCTAAATGAGACTCGCTGTATACTTACACATCTTTAAACTCAGTTGGTATCAGTGTGCACAGAGCATTTGGAGTATTATATTTATTAATATAATATTGAAAAGTTATTCCTACGTAATTTTTCACATAGCTTAACACTTTATTGAACAAATATGTAATGCATTAATTAGACAATATTTCAATTTGAAATGGGATAGGCATCATATATGAAGGGAGTCAAGCCAAAGAGAAATAGGAGGGCAGATTACTGCTGGCAACAAGCCCAAAGATGTGAAAGAGGCTGAAATAGTTATTTTATTTGTTGAGAAAGAATACGTCTAAAACAGGATAGACAGGGAAGTATCAATAGAGACAAAGAGACATTATTAATAAGGAAAGGCCAAGGTTTTTATATCAGGGAAATATATGTAAAGATTTTATCAAGATAAGGAAGATCAACTTTAGTTCAAATTTAGATAAGCAAATTTTAATTTATTAATAGTATACTCTTTTAAAAAATTCTGTTTTAAAGAACCACGAGATATAGAAAATATTGATACTATAAAATATAATCTATTCCCACTTAATTGTTCAGACTAGAGTAGTAAATGTAACATTTTTTTTAGGAACTCCCCTGTCAGCACCTCCATAAACATTTGTGTTCCACAGTCTGATTATTTATGAAAATATATGTAAGTGGTTAATTTTGTGCTAGATTGAGCATATTTTATTTTTTATATTTTCTGGAAGTGGAGGTGGATGGATGAGGTGCATTTGATTACTGAAGCATTTTCCACCATGGTTATAAGGTTCTGAAATAGACCCTGAATAAATGGCTAATAATACTAAATAAAAATACTAATATTTTGTACTGTGTCAGAAACCAACTCAGAGAGAAGTGGGTCAGTTTATAGGAATTTCAACACTATTGAGTTTCAGTAATTTTAAGAATCCTATTAATAGCTAAAGAAACCTTGATGCTGGTATTTAGAGCTATGAATTGCTAATTCTAGTTAACTATTACAAAATATTCAAACATGCCAGGTCAAGAATGTCAGCTATTCTACAAAGCAAATCATAAAACAAGCAATAAAATCACCTTCTCTGAGATCCCATTTACAAGTCAGATTATATGACTTTTTCTGTCTCGACGCGTTTCTTCTATGTGATATTTTTCTTGCAGGTCACATTTTGCATCATGTGAATATTGGACTGAAGGTCAAACAATGTGTTCATCAGATTCCTTCCGTCACAATGGAAGCATCTATTCAGCCCATCACACGGACTGTCCTCCGCGTAACACTCACCATCTACCCTGATTTCACTTGGAATGATCAGGTAGAAGCAGAAATTGCCTGTATCTAGGTTAAACAAAAATGTCTGTACTGTAGATTCAACTGTACCTCCTGATATCTGTCTCAAGGCATATAGAAAATCCCCTAAAAAGAATATACATATTTATGATTTATTTAAAATACTATGGCAATATTTATTCTGTTCCTCAAGAAAAATGTGGTATATTAATAATATGTCAACCAATAGAATTCCATCGTAACACATATGCAACCTTGACTTTTCAACAAACAACAAAAGATTCGTGGATACAACTCCATAGAAACTTTGCCATTTTAGTTCAGTCTTCTTTCACTTTTTTGTTATCTTCATTTTTGGCATGTCTACCAACTTTGTCATTTTGTCTTTGTCTTTACAAAGAATTCAAGATTCTCCATGCTGAAAGAGCCATTTTAAAATCATCTCTTTGAAACTATCATTCTCTCATTTTCTCAATCATTAAATTTGTAGAAAAAGTATTCTCTGTTTTCCTCCTAGTGACCAGTTCCTTTCCTTCTGAGACTACTTCCTTAATGCTTTTCAGTGCCTGATGGGTTGCCATAGTAAACAGATTTATTTCAATGCAACATTTAGTGCCATACATAGTCCTCCTTCAAAATGTTCTCCCTCAGTCCCACATTTCTATTTTTATTCCTTCTTCTTCTTTCTTCCTCCAGTACCTTAGATGTTATCTTATAAATATGCACCCACACACACATATTATAAGGATCTACTCTGGATCTGCTTCTTATTCAATCCACATTTTTTAAGCTCTATCTTTGTACCAGTTACTATGTTATAGAGATTGTAGATGCAAAGGCAAGTTAACTTTGTAATGAAAATTATATATCATTGAAGCTGTTAGAGAGAGATGAATGGGTGCTGTGTACACAAACCTTACTTGAATTGTAATATACGTAGTACTAGGATAATATTTTTCTTCTAGGTGCATGGAACAGTGGGGGAACCCTGGTGGATTTGGGTAGAAGATCCTACAAATGATCACATTTATCATTCAGAGTATTTTCTAGCTCTAAAAAAACAGGCAAGTATATATATATGAATATATCCTGACCTTATTATTTTGCTGAGATAAAATATATACTAATAATATCTGTTTTTACTTTACATGTTTATAATTTTATAGTACCACTAGAGCTTTATTTCTTATGTTTTACATTTCCATTTGGTTTTAAAAGAGCACAGTGATTAAATGTTACCCTGTTGATTTTAGTAAGAAACTCAATTACCAGTCATGTGCTGCATGGAGGCCTTACAGTCAGTGACTCATCACCTTACTACAACAGTGGTCCCTTAAGGTTATAATACTGTATTTTTACTGTACTTTTCTATGTTTAGATATACAAATGTTAATACTTACCATCAGGTTACAACTGCTAAGGTATTCAGTATAGTAACATGCTATACAGGTCTGTAGTTTAGGGGCAGTAGGCGAAGCTGTTATTACCTCAGTGTGTAAGAGGCTGTGCCGTTTAGGCAGATTTGTGTAAATATACTCTATGATGTTCTCCATGTTTCCTGCCATGAGGAAATCACTAGCAACATGTTTTACAGAATGTATCCCTGCTGTTAAGCTACATGTGACTGTAAAATCTTCACCGTAGTTTAAGACATAAAGTCCAGAGGCATGGAATATGTCAAATATGTAGAATAAATACTAATTTTAGGTTTTAACATGCACACATGTAACAATACTCTATAAAGAGTACTGAATCACATGGTGAAAAGAACATTTCTTCTAAAATTCTCTATGAATCACAAAATAAAGACTCAAACTGATGCTGTTTCTTAACTGATGCCTCATTTGTAATTTCTCTTTCTATCAAAGAGAAAGCAAGCTTCAGGCTGAGCGTCTCGGGTGGGCAGCAGCAGAATTTTATACCAATGTTTGTGTTCATTGTGTTTGTCTTCCTGGTTTCCTTCTATTTATGCCAAGTGATTCTGGTGTTCTGCTTAAGGTACTGATAGAACTAAAAGAAAAATGGAAAGTAAGTAGTATGGTAATTGGTTATAATAAAAATCATGAAGTTAAGTAATTGAGTAATACCTGGGAAATTCTGATAATGAATTAAATTGGTGCTCTGTTAATACATGATGATACGCATATGTGAATAATGTAAGTATAAAACGTTACCTTCTTTTATATCAGATATCCTTAGAAGACTACTACTCGCAAGAGATACTCTGAAGTACATGAGTATCTCAGCTACTTAGAAATTCAGTATAATGTATTTTTAGTCTATTTTATGTATACACTGTCTTAACAATAAACTAAAAAGACCTTTATGTTAGT